ACAAATGCAGCTGCGCTGGAGCGGCCACCTGGTGCGCATGGACGACGAGCGACTACCCAAACGACTCTTCTACGGAGACGTCGCGACGGGTTCTCGTCGTCAAGGAGGCCAAATTCGCCGTTACAAGGATACTCTGAAGTCCTCCCTGAAGCGCCTGCAAATCAACCCGACCAACTGGGAAGAGCTCGCTCGCGATCGTCCGACATGGAGGAGAACAGTGAAGACGGGCGCTGCTATCTATGAAGCCAACCGAATCGCGGCCGCCAAAGCGAAAGGCGAAGCCCGCAAATCACAACTTCGCCCAGTCCGCAATGCCGCCGCACAACCGCTCCCAACGTGTCCTCGATGTCAACGGACATTCCGGGCACGAATCGGACTTGTTGGACATCTCCGAACCAACTGCACCTCTCGAACTGCTCCAGCCATCGTCCCCCCGCCCGCCTCTTCCTCGTCCTCTCTTCCGCCAGCTAACTCTGACACTCCTTCTGCACCACCAATTCCATCCTCCTCGTCCTCGTCCCTCTCCACTGCCCCAGCGGCGGCCGTTCAGACTGCTGTCTCACACATCACCAACACCAACACACCAACCAACATCACCTCTCTCACCTCTCCCGATTCCAGTGATGAGGATCAGGACTACACCTGCCCTCACTGTGACCGCACATTCACCTCTCGCATCGGCCTGGTCGGTCACTTGCGAATCCATCGCACAGAGACTGGTGAACCAGTGCCTGGAGCACCAACCTACACCCACCGCACTCGCCTCCACTGCCCTCGCACCTTCACGCATCGCATGGGTCTATTCGGCCACATGCGCATCCACGAGAGCGGAATTGACCGCAGCCTTGACACATCCACCCCGCCGAGCCCCACTCCCAATCCACCACCTTGTGCACCCACTAACCACTCCCCACCCGACATCGACGCCACCGACCTTACCACCCCTCACTCCTCCCCTTCCTCCTCCTTTTCCTCCATCACTGCCACAACGACGGCCGCTTCGGCGTCTGTCGCCCACGACTTCACCACAGCCGAACCTGACACAACAACAGGCACAACCCCTGCAACCTCCATCATCAGACGTGAGGGCCAGGACTACATCTGCCCTCACTGCGATCGCACCTTCACTTCACGCATCGGCCTGGTCGGTCACTTGCGAATCCATCGCACAGAGACTGGCGAACCAGTGCCTGGAGCACCAACCTACACTCACCGCACTCGCCTCCACTGCCCTCGCACCTTCAGGCATCGCATGGGTCTATTCGGCCACATGCGCATCCACGAGAGCGGAATTGACCACAATTCCGATACAGCCACGACATCCAACATATCCACCATGCCCAGACGCACCCTCGCTCCACCGCCACACGCGCCGACCGCCACCACCACCAACACCACCGCTTCCTCTACAGCTGGCACCGACACCGCTGACCTCTCATGCCCACATTGTCCACGCACCTTCACCTCACGCATCGGCCTGGTGGGTCACTTGCGAATCCATCGCACAGAGACTGGCGAACCAGTGCCTGGAGCACCAACCTACACCCACCGCACTCGCCTCCACTGCCCACACTGCCCTCGCACCTTCACGCATCGCATGGGTCTATTCGGCCACATGCGCATCCACGACGACCTACGGTAGAAAACCGCCGGTCACACCACACATTCCCTCACTCCCTACCTCCTAACACCATCACCCCACCAGACATCAACCCTCACACACCTCATGCACTCAACTGCCGCCTCCCACGCAAGTGGGAAGTGTGCATCTCGACTCGGTCTCCGTGCGGCTTCGGCTGCACGGGTGACTCGTGTCCGAGACTATCCCGACACGTCAAGCGTCGTGGATAGGAAGGTTGCTGATTGAGACCCGCTCTCGGTTCACGCAGTTCGTCACGTTGTGTGTGTGTGGTGTGTAGTGGCGGACTGGTGGGCTGGGGACGGGCTGAAGCAGCACCTTCCAGGGCCCTCTCACGCAAGTGGGAGACACGCCGTTCTACCCCCGTTGTGTGAAATCCTGGTGTTTGTGTGTATGGGGGGCCAGGTCGTGCTGTGGAGCGCGCAGTCATGGTCAGTCGACCATGTCAGCCACCGCGCCCATTCCCCACTCCAGTCTACTGACCGGCTCGGACAGTGGCTGGGGTGTGGAAATGGGAAGGGAGAGTGAGGTCGACGACTCAGCGCATTTTCCTCACTATAATCAATCTGACGCGCTTGAAGCTATCACGGTGCGCTAAAAGCCGTGGCTTGGAAGGTTGCCAACTGACGGGGTACCTTGGACCTCCTCCCTAACGGGAGGCGGTCTGAGAGTCAGGCTGCAATGGCTCCTTTTTCATGTGGCCTTTATGGCATTCCCACCACAGTGTGGGATCCGAGCCAGGCGTTGGCGGCACGCCCAGGTGCGGCTTCGGCCGTGCCAGCCTCCAAATCTCTGTTGTGTTGGTTGAAATCCTGGTCTTGGTGTGTGGAGCAGGGGTGCGGAGTGGAGCGCCAAGGTGAGGATCCGTCCGAGCCATCCACCTGCGGCCTCCCTCGTCTCCGGTCTTCTTGACTCTGTCTTGACACCGGGCCCAGGCGGGGGAGGAGGAGAGAGTGTAGGTAGATGCAGCGCAAGTCTACCCGCACTATAAACCCCTGCGTAAGTCACCGTCCCTGCTCCCACAATGCAGTCTGTGGGGCACACGGTGGTCATCGTCGAAATCGACGGACGAACTGTCGTGTGTGTGTGTGTGTGTGTGTGTGTGTGTGTGTGTGTGTGTGTGTGTCTACAGGCGGGATTTGGGATTGGGTACCTAGGCACAAAGGGACGAGCGAGTCCCTGAATGCGATCGGTGAGCGCCCCTCTAGGTAGATTTATATGCATATACGGCGTCTTTGTTCAATTACCCGGAACATCAGGGTCATTCATCTTTCCAGCGAGCGGTACTAGGAGCACTGACCTTACAGTCCAGCCGGCTACAACATACACACACGAGCACGCATTTAGACGGTCAAGACTGTCTATGTCCTTGTTGAATATGCTACCCCTCGGCTAATACAACTCCCACGACTTTAACGCAAACCCACTTTAACCAACTCCTACATACCCATAGGAGCAGCTGACGCCATTGTTTCGTTCTCTCCGATGCAGGACCCTACACCACCAGTAAACGCGCTGGCCGCGAGAGTGGCCAATGACGCCGGAGACATCGACTCGCGGTTCTGTGCACAAATAACCTCTCATTGTGGCGCCCTCCCCTTACCTTGCAAGTTGGGAGTCGCTAGAAGTCAACTTAGATACTGCTAGATGCACGCCCCGCAGAAGTCGTTAAAGAGCTGATGAATGCATGCGAACCTGGCGGGGGTGACGAGGCATGCAGGATTAAATGACGTCAGGAAGATCATGCACTCTTGTTCAAATGCGGACGGTCGATGAGAATCTATGAAGCTTATAGTTGAAGAGTAGTAAGTAGTCTGTGTAATCAAGCGCAGATGCGACACTTTGACCGTCGATTTCAATAATTTGCACCATAGGCTGCACAGGAGGGAGAGAGCAGGGACAGCGACTTGCATGCGAATGAGTTTATAGTGACAGTGGCCTTGCGAAGCATCTATCACGCCCTCTTCTCCTCCCTCATCTGGGTCCGGCATTATAACTGCGGGTGGGAGACGCCGCAGGTGACTGGCGCCGCGCAAACACGAACCTAGGCGTGCAACCACATTTTGTAGTCCACAGCGTACACTGATCAACATTTTATACCATAAAAAGATGGGGAAGGCGGTACGGATCTCAACCGGGCGCGGAGCGAGCTGGTAACATCGCGAGCCAATAAACCCAAATGTTGGCATTTGTTATGGGTGCACATTCCCGATAACGCCTGCTCGACTCCCATCTAGCGTCTACTGTGTGGCTCGTTTTAGGGGCAACTGTGCGGACATACACCATCTATAGGGTCCTATGCTGAATCAACGGGTCGGATCTTAGTTCTTAGCCGTAACTGCAGTAGAAAAGCCCAAGCCTATCCCCTAACCCCAACCGCTGACTCCCAGCCCTCGATCCCTAACCCCTAACAGGTACGGCTACCAATCAACGACTTGGCGTCTTTACTGCTGTTCGGGGATTGGGTGATACGGTCGTGTAACCTGGATCCCATTGTCTACCACGTATTGCCATGATAAGAGCCAGGAGCGGGACCAACCCCACCCCCTCTCCAGCCCCT